GGCCTCGACCGGCTTCGCTTCAAAGAGTAATTGTTTTTCTTGGCGCTCCCGAAGGGACCTTTTTCCGAAGGGACCTTGAAGCAGGAAGGAAAAACTAGACGGGCCATGGGGGAGAGGGAGGTTGGGGATCGAGAAGTAGAAGGAAGGGATAGGGAGAGCGGGAGAAACTGTTGTTGAGCAGCTTGGTAGCGTTAATTAAACGGATAATAGCTGTAGCTGGTTGCCTCCGGGCCTTTGGGGCGTACTAGAGCCTTTGGGCTAAAGCCCCCTCCCCCCCCTCTCTAACTCTCCTTCTCGCTCTTTCTCTCTTCACGGTGCGAAGCCTTCTTTGCTTTCCGACTGTGCGAAGGACGTCGTCAAGTTTCGGTCGGAGGCAACGCTGGGCTGCCTACAACAGGCCACCACCACCGCCAGGCGGCCGAGCGGCCTGGTCCTGGCGGGGGGCCGGGGAGGGTGGGGGGAGAATGCAGATAGAAAGAGAAGAGGGGTCAAGACTCTGGGGACATCTGTAACTAGATGCTAACTACTCACTAACGAAGGTGGCACCGTGGGCTCGGGGGGCCCGCCTGGGGAGCGGTTCACAAGGCACTGCAAACAGAAAGGGCGGCGCGGCGGCGGAAAAGTGGAGCCCGTGCGGGGAGTCCGTGGGCAACTCCATACCCAGTGAACAGCGACCCGCCTCGACGTGGAGGGACCTTTTTTTTTACCCTCTCGACGCGCGCCCCCTCTTTGGAAAAACACTCCTTGTGCCCCTCGAGCTTTTTCGACGACTCCTGTCGCAAGAGGCGGCCGCAGGTGGGGGGTTGTCGTAAGATGTTTGGACTGCTGTCATGTCACTCTGCGGTCCCCCCCACCCCCCACCCCCCTTTCAGTAGTGATACGTGATGGTTCAGGGCCGCGCAGCCGGGTGCCGGGCGGGGGCGGCCCGTGTGCCCTTGCGTTGCCCCGTGTACGTGTCTTTGATGTACTCAAGTGGGTTGGCAACGCGCCGGGCCGCTCCGTCTGTATAGTGCTGCAGTCCGGCCGCCCCCCGCCTGTCAGGACCGTACTGGAGCAGTGAGCCCAGCATTCCATGCGTTGCGGACAACAGTGGGAGAATTTCGACAAACTATTTATGTACCCTTTATTTAAACTCGGCGTGGTTTTGTTTTTGTTTCCCGAGTGTACTTCACACGTTTCTCGAATTAATGACAGCACAACAGTCGGCCCTGCGTATCGGTCATACCTCGCGCAACGTTTGTGAGGTTGACGGTTGACGCCCCTGTGCAGTCTTGGCGGGGACTGTACGCGCACACTGGGTCCACGACCCACCCGCTGCGGGCTTCCCGTGCAGTGTCCGGCGGTCCTGGCGGGGCGGGGCGGGGCGGTCGCTGAAAGCAGGCCCTATTCCTTTGCGGCTAGAGGGCGGTGGTGCGCGGCGGTGCAGGGTGGGGCTGGCGGGTTGGCGGGGTGTTTAAGAGGATCACCCCGTAGTCCCGGCGTGCAGATGGGTTACCGTTACCCGATCGGCCCACCGCTGCGCGCCGACGCCGTTAAAGACACCGTGGTCCGGAGGAGGGGGGACTGGGATGGTGGTAGACTGAGGCATCGGATTTGGGGGCCGCCGCTGAGCTGACGCCCGATCAACCCTGCTTTCTACACTGCCGTAAATATAACAAACGAGGAAACTTTTGCCTTTCCTCAAGAAGAAAAGTTTTTTCTTAAGTTTATATCGTTCACTCTACCGCGTACAACATTACCGGTTCGTTTCTTGAAACTTCGTTCGTTTTGATGAATCTCTAGATTGTAAGGGGCAGTTTGACGAATTCAGGATTCAAAAAGAAACCAAGCTAGGGTCAATTTTGGAAGATTTTCTTCAAAAACACTTTAAGGTTTTACATCATTTAAGCTATTTATTCACCCCACTTGTGACCGAAAGGGGCAATACTCACATAAATGTGTCCGCGCAGATTGCACGATCTCGTCAAATTGCACATCCTTAATTCATAATTAACCATAATTGAAGTACTGTTTGTAGCTTTTTTAAAGCTTACTGCGCTCAGAATTATGATCGTAATTGAGTAATTTGGCTAAAAAGTGTCACATTTCGCTAGTTTGGTTACTATGGTGACTGGACTGCACCCGATCGTCGTGTACATATGCTTGCTTGCCGCCCCCTTTGTAGAGTGACCTGTGGCCGTGTACCGAAGACCCGAGCAAACGCCGCCGGAAGGCCAAGCTTGTTTAAGCTTTGTAAGAGTGAGGGGCAGGTAGGGGACCCGGGCGGGCACAGGCGGGCGGGCCCACGGGCTCACATGCCGGCGATATTATCATCTATTCCAACAGCAACAGGCCCTGGCACCGCCGGCACCGCCGCCCTGGAGGCAATCCCCGCGTCCTTTGAGAGATGCGGATCGCTGCGTGCTGCCGCCGTGTGGGGAGCGGGATGTGGATCTCCGGGCGCAGTGGGGTGGGGATAGGGGTAAGAGAGTGTAGGGGAGCGGTGGGGGAGTAGTGTGTGAGGTGGATAGAGTCGTATAACGAGAGGGTGGTGGAGGTGAGGGTCGCGCTGGATGTAGAACGACTGCGATAGATGATGGATTTAGGAAAGCAGCTGGAGCAGAGAGAGAGAGGGGGGGGGATAGTAGGGGGCACTCTAGACGTCAAGATAGGCGTGGCGCAGCGCGGCGTCGGGGCAATGGTGTCACTTAACGGGCGCATCCGAAAGAGAATACGTAATGGGGGCAAGGGATCGGGGGCGGGGGCGGGCGGAGGGTGGGCCAACATGTGCAGACAGAATGCGCGATGGGCTGGGAACGGCGCAAACCTTGACGGAGCGGGATGTCGGGGTGGGGGCGGGGGTGGACCTTTGCGTACTCGAACTAGGCAAATCATACCAGTCGGCCAGTCACAGGAAGCGGGAGTATGTGTGTCATCATGTGTGTCCATTTTGCCTTCGACCTAGCTGAGTGACTGGGAATAGGTGCTCGGTGGGGCGTGCCGAGGTGCGCCGAGGGCGGGGCGAGGCGGGGTGGGGCGTGTCATCAGGACGGCGCCTCCGCTTTTGCTATACATAATACATCAACCTGCCGCGATATCGGCCGGGCCGAGCTGCCCAGTCCTGCCCAGGCCAGCCCGGCCCAGATGACAAACGAGACGTGAAAGGAAAGCCGAGGGGCGGGTCGAGGCAGGGCGGGGCGGGGTGGCGGGGTACATTAAGGCCTGGCAGGTGCTGCTGCTGCTGCTGCGGTGGGCAGCGCCGGCCTGCGGGCCTTTTGTCTTTTAATGACAAGCGCGCCACATTTAAACCAAAAGAACAACAACAACGAAACAAGCAAAAACAATCACGAAAAGAAATTAAGAATAAAAATACTTTAACCCCGCTCTGCCGTTCTGCCGGTTTGTTTTATGCCACGATGATGATGAAGGTGCACAGCGGGCCGGCGGCGGCAGGTGCGAGCGCGTGCGGGTGTGCTGCTGCGGTCATCAGTCTCCGGAGGGGTCATCAGTCCGCAGCCCGTCACGGTCCGGCTGCTGGCGGGCCGGCGCATGACAAGCGGGGCGGGGCGGGGAGCAGCTGGGTTAAAATAAGATTGGCGGCGTGATTGGCACGACGCTTCCATTTCACGCGCTGTTTGGCCCCCGCCGCCTCATTTCACCGTCCATGTGCCGCTACTCCTCCCCCCTTCCCCCTCCCGCTCCCTCCCTATCTCTCTCTCTCTCTCTCTCTCTCTCTCTCTCTCTCACACTCACTCTCTCTCCCTTTCTCTCTTCCTCTCTTCCGCTCTTTCTACCTCCCTCTACCGTACAACTCCATGAGGCAGCTCCACCCTGACCACCACCACTAAATCCTCCCTGTAACCAACCCGATCCGACCTTTCCAGCTGGCGGCAGCAGTTCGAACCAAACTCACTTAACAATAACAGCGGCATCCAGGCCAGGCGAGCTAGTCACTAGCTGCTAGTGCTATTTAATATCGAGGACAACTTGTTTGAAACGCCGTTATTGAAAGAGACTTTTTTAGTTCGCCCTGCTTTTCTGCTTTGCGAGGGCAATAAAAGCGGACTTTATGCCATGAATCTAGTTGAATTATGTAGGTGTACTAGTCACTAACCTGCAGAGTGTATACGCCGAGCCCTGCCGAGCCACTGGCTCGACCGAGGGCCCGACCAAACGCAACGCCGCCGGCAGGCCAAGTAAAGGCCCCCCTGGCCCGGCCTGGCTCCTGCAAGCGGAGTTGCCTGCGCAGCGAAGCGGAGCTGGCTGGCAACTCCGTTTAGCGGTAGTAGTCCTGCTTGTTATTACTCTGTTGGACCTATTTCACAACCTCAATGCATCGGGGACCAGTTAGTTTTCTCTTGTTCACACTTTTTGGCCTGCACTTTCTGCTTCAAGGTGCCAGCGCGCCTTGCTTGGATTAAACTCGGACGATGCTGCAGCTATAGCTACCTCTCCTCTATAGTACGCGTACCACCTTCTCCCCCCCCCCCCTTTCCTCTCTGCGCCGCAGCTGGCTGCGAGAGACTCCATCGGGGAGTATTCCAAACTCCCGGGGACCTTAGCCCCGCGGGTAGCACAGCGAGCAGCGACCCCCCCCCCCCTTTTCAGCTTGCCCCCACGACTTTGGCTGCAGCTCTCTCTCTCTCTCTCTCTCTCTCTCTCTCTCTCTCTCTCTCTCTGTCCCTCTCTCTCCCTACCCCCTACCCCCTTCTTCTTCCTTCCCCAATTACGCCCCGAAGGCATCGGCCCGCTTGCGTCGCCACCGCCGCCGTCGTGTAAATGGATTTTGCAAACAAGTGGCTCCGGCAAGTTGTGGGCCCCCCGTTCATTGATTTTCGCGACGCGAGTGGGTTACGGTTACGGCCGCACCGCCGACGGGCGCGGTGCCGTGCTCTCTATGGGAACAATTCCGTCGAGAAGACGGAGAAAGTGTTTCGCATTTTTCCGACTGCGCTTCGAGAGGAATGTGTGCCAACATATTTGCTAACCACTCTGTTTTGTTTGTTTTTTTCTGACGGCAGTACTGCCCAAGGACGGGCCGCACATCACGGGCGGCAAGCCCAAGTACCGCGTGGACGAGGACGTGGACGTCCTGTGTTCGGTGAACCGGTCCAAGCCCGCGGCCAGCCTCCTCTGGTTCATCAACGGCGAGGTGGCCGACGACAAACTGCTCCGGGGGCCGTACAAGTCCGTGTCGGCGCCCGACGGCCTGGAAAACGCCATCCTGGGCCTGCACTTTAAGGTAAGTGAGTCGAAGAGGTAAGAGTCGAGGTGCGCATTCGAAAAAAAAGTCAATATTTTTTTTAAATTG